TAAACCTATGCAAGAGTGTTCGTTGTACAAGTTTGAATGTGATAGTGCGTAGTTCTTTGGTTTTGAGCACATATCTATATGCATGCTTCGTTATGTAACAGTGTTGGCCTGCCGCCCGCACCGCCCGTTGGATCACAGAGCAGTGCTCCTCAAACCATCGCAGAACTCAGAAACTAAGAGCGCCAGGGACGGGTTTTTTATCTCAAAAGACGCACAACAAATGCCTCAGAGGATGCTGAAAATTTTGGCAAGTCGACTGATTAACGAACGAAGTTGGCAGCCGATAGCACGAACGTACCGGACAGACATGCTGAGAAAACCCTAACGGGCACATCCCCTAAACAGGGCCGAGGGGGCTGGGCTGTTATTTTATGGGTTGATTGCCACTCAACTTAACACTACGTCAGTTGATAGACGAGTACAGCTTCAGTACCTTTATGAACTAATTCTCTGCTGAACTGATTTCAGGCCAACATGGCGGGTGAGGGACGCATGTATCAAGTCGGGAATATCTGTCTTAAAAAAGCTTTCGCCTGATGGAAGGCATACCAATAGCAGGCCTCGCACGACCACTCCGCAGTTTCATAAGCTACTCGCTATGCCATCCACTTAGTTTCACCTACCAGGGCGTAAATATTCCTGCACAGCTACGTACCACTCTCCCAACAGGGGCGCAGGAACCTGTTACCAGCACCATATCACAGTCTTTCTACGAGGATTGTTCATCCGTCAGCTTTAAGGTTTACACAAACGGACTAACATCAGCTTGCATTGTTCTTTGCATCACGCAAAAAGAACACCTATACGAAGCTTGTGTACGCCAAATCGGCGAAGACATCAGGCAGACGTGACTGTACGTAACATTCAGGATAACGGCTTCACCAGAACACAGTCAAGCAATTACGGTGACATCCATTTTTAACAACACAGAGGTTCTTCGGTGGTTCCCCGTCACACAGTATCGAACGATCTACTACGGATCAACAGACGACGCGCGCCACCAGACATGACGCTCATGTTGGAGCCACGTTCCCTCGCGAAACAGTGCTGAGGACCAAACGCGCCGCAGAAACACTCACAAACCGACCACCGCGATCGTCGGTCACAGCGCAGTCACACGCTCTCGTCATTGTAATGCCACCAACCTGCGGCTCGCCTTCGGATTTAAGACGCGCAAGCCGTTCCTAATCGACCGCTTTCACAAACTTCATTGTCAGGCAGGACCTCAGGTATCGGACGGACCTCCGCTGAGACGCTAGAGCACAGAACAAATCAGATCAGCTTCTTCAGGTGCGCGCTGCTAGCTTTTTGGCCAGAACACATACACTGGCACTGCAATCACCAGGATGCCTCCACGAAGCTCACCGTTGTAGCCACAGCTGCTCCCTCCACAATCAACCCGGAACTTGTTTCCCTCCTACTCCACGTGTGGTGCCTACTGCAACCGACATTGCCACCACTTGAAGTAGGGTCCCGGCAGCTCTTCTTGAAATAGTTAGTCGCACTTGAAAATACAGACTCATCTCTTTACAAATGTCACGAGGACACTGTTTATGCAGAAAATAGATCAATTTCGACTATGCCCTCTTCTTACATTAACATTAATTCCGTTCGCTTTAAGACTTCTCTTTAGCTGGGCGTATGCCCTCCAGCAAATCGTAAGCCAAGATGCGGTAGCTCGGAGTGCCTTGCAAAACGTACAAAAGAAGGAATGTTGTTCAATCTCTCTCTCTCTCTCTCTCTCTCTCTCTCTCTCTCTCTCTCGCTCTCTCTCTCTCTCTCTCTCTCTCTCTCTCTCTTCTCTCTCTCTCTCTTCTCTCTCCTCTCTCTCTCTCCTCTCTCTCTCTCTCTCTCTTCTCTCTCTTCTCTCTCTCTCTCTCTCTCTCGCTCTCTCTCTCTCTCTCCTCTCTCTCTCTCTCTCTCTCTCTCCTCTCTCTCTCCTCTCTCTCTCTCTCTCTCTCTCTCTCTCTCTCTCTCTCTCTCTCTCTCTCTCTTCTATCTCTCTCTCTCTTCTCTCTCTCTCTCTCTCTCTCTCTCTCTCTCTCTCTCGCGATCTTCTCTCTCTCTCTCTCTCTCTCTCTCTCTTCCTTCTTTATGCAATGATGAAATGTCTCCGATTGATAAAAGAAGACCCTGGGCTTGGTTGGTGTTTCAGCATAATGAGTCGAGAACCCTTATCCTGAACATAATCAACCTTCATGTACCAGGAGATACTGTTTAAACGACGCCATCAAGCCAGCATTCCCTACATCGACAAAATTCGACGTTTTATGCTGTGCTCATTTTCACGAGTGATCATGAGTCCATCATGAGTCCATAATGAGTCCAAATATTCAAGTTTCCGCTTTATATTTACCTTGAAGCACGCCATGAAACACGGTCAGGTGTTAAATGTCAGTTGGCGGACGGATCGCGTCGATCACTGCGGCACGTTCAGCTTTCATTAAGCTTTCGTCGCCAAGTTCTGTCGATGACCCGGATTTCGCAACCGATTGGAGCGGCCAGGTCTCACTCCTCAAACACTGCTAGGACGGTGGGGCCATGGCTCACTTCACAAACGCTGCTAGGATGGTGGGGCCAGGGCTCACCCCTCAAACACTGCTAGGATGGTCGGGCCAGGGCTCATTTCACAAACGCTGCTAGGATGGTCGGGTCAGGGCTCACTTCACAAACACTAACTAACAGTGCCCCAGGTGGCCAGAAACGGCTCACTGAACGTCCCGAGGGACTAAGTGGGGCCTACTGAGTGCCCAGAAGCGATAGTTGGCTACTTTCGAAGCTTCTGTTTGGCAAAGAATCTCTCTTGGCGTGTTTCTCAGTTTGTGCGATGATTTTTTATTTGCGTTGCGCGGGCCGGATCACTTTTGCAATAAGTTCTTGAGCATCTTGACATATATTCTTTGAACCCCCACATTTTTTGTTTTGGGGTCCGGGGTGCCGACCCCCGCCCCGACTCCCACAGAATCTCTCGCCATGTATGCAAGGCTTATAACGATTGTGCGCTTAGTGGCTGAGGTCTGCCATGAAACCATGGAGTTAATGGAATGGAAACAATATGTCGTATAGGGCTAAGTTTGATTTGATTTGGTTAAGTCCAATCTGCTCTCATTTTACGTACGCTTGGTGTGGCATCCAGGCATCAGGTTGTCAGATACACTTGGCCAAGTCTAATCCACAGGCATGGGCCTGCGCTACGTCGATTCCACTATTGCTATTTCTGAATCCTTTGAATCGGCGAGTCCGTACCCGATCCCAAGTCCTTTGTGAAGGCATGGGTTCGGCTGAGAAATCCCGCTGTCCACAAACCGCTTGACAGTCTGACCAAATTTGAACTGACGCCACGTAATTAGAGACAGCCATGAACATCTGCAACTAAAGGAGGGAGGGACGAAAGGAAGCACAGTTCGGTAGCTCGGTAAGCCAGAGAGAAACTGAAGCTTTTTGACATCGGCCAGTTTTGAAAGGAAACTCACCAATTTTCGAAATGGGGGGCGTCGCCATCGTCCGGTAATCGGAGAGGATGCAATAAGAACCTTTGAGAACTGAGAAGGTTTAAGGTGCATTCTTTACCTCAACACCACAGGCATTATGTCAAATACTCGCGATTATTGAGAAGAACGTGTACCGGCCCGTCTCATGTTGCTGCCCCCACGCACCGGATCTCTTCTTCAGAACAATTCAAACAATTTGCTTGAAAACTCAACCACCGCAACCAGTACAACCACTCAATTGACGAAAAGACACTACTAAGGATGCATTGGGTTTGACAGGGGGAGCCAGATGTTCCTGTCCAGTGGAGCGGGCAACTCGTTGATTACCTGTAGAACACCTGTCCTGCAGCAAGGCACTAGGCCATGCCGTGACCTAATGTGACGGCCGGGGAGCGGCCACTGTCTGCGCCGCATACCGCACCGCCGCCAACTGTTGCCAATGACGCGAGCCAACCGGTGTCGAGTTGGTTAATGAACTTGTTGCAAGATAGTCAATCAGGCTTCTCCACGTACTGGTAGCACAGGCAGCACAGGTGGTCGTACTGTGAGATGGAGGGTGGTAGCTCTGTATATCTTAGATGGAAGCTGCGCACTCGATCTTTTAGGACAGAACAAACGATCAGCGGCAATGCAGAAGCGAACAGAGGAATAGTCGTGTTAGAACGGCTGTGGCACAAGTACGTGTACTGACAGAGCGATGCATTTGTCCATGTGCACAGGACAGTTGGAGATGACGTTGCTCATGACATCGTGATTCATTAGGCTGGGAAGGTAGCGGACAACTACCAGCGTCTGCAACAAGAACCGCCGCGGTCTCCTCCCGGTGATTGACATCGACCCACGCACCCTCAGCGCGTCAGCACTCGTCTGGCGGTGCTCCCTGCACCTGGCCGGCACGATGCCCCCGCCGCCACCCGCCTGACGGCTCGCCGCCCACTTTGGCGGTGCCCCCTGCACCTGGCCGGCATGATGCCAGCGCCGCCACGCGGCCGGCCCGCACACTGCTGTGCTCGCACAGGCAGCGGCGCGAGCGCATTACTTCAGGTTCAGCACGTTTTTGAACACCGGGACATTTGAGCGCTGGCTCAAATTTACAAAGAACGCTTAAAAGCACAGCACAGGGCAGCTTAAAACGTCAGTGTTGACGCTATAACCAACGGTCGCCTGATAGCGCACCTTAACCAGTACCCCCTGGCATATTAAAGGTCGATAACTGTCGGCATAATAACACTGAGCTCGAGGTGGAATAGCCGCTACGTAGGCTGCGTGGATATGGCAGACTGCAGTCACAACTTCCGTGGTGTCACACCTTATGGCACGTTGCCTGGAAGGAGGCTGGTGTGGAGGTCGTATGCTTTTCGAGTGTCCTGGCTCTTTAACATAACAGATAGAGGCCCCCACCCTTACTTTGGATCAGGCTGTGATCCACTGACGCTGAGACGGTATTGTTAAAATGACAGCGCACCCTTACCTGGACGCGCTAAGCCAGACATTTACAAGTGACTGAGCAAAGTTCACCACACCGTTGTATTGCCAGACGATACACACATACGAGAAACAGTCATAAGATCTCCCAGTTGAACCCCGATCCGGTGTACGGCTCTTCAGTACCACTGTATGCAGACTGGGGAGGAACTGGTGGGGATAACAGGCAATTCAAAACAATACGCGCTTTACCGATCGTGTGTTATCCCATATGGAGCAAACACCGTTATTCCACCTAGCAGACCGACCATTCACTACAAAGAACCAAAACAACCAGGCGGAGCCACATCACAACAGAACGCCGCGCCGCATCCGACCGGCCGTGACTCCACTCCGCCGCACTAACAGCCGGCGGTCCTGGGCCCCACCCAGCGCTGGAGCCAGCCCAAGCCGGCCACCGAACACGCGACCGCCGCACTTCATGGGCCCGCGGCGCGCCCGATCAGCCGACTTGCAGGATCTCGCGGCGCGCGCTGGTCTGCAGGAGATCGGGCGCCGACAGCAGCGCCGCCAGCGTCTCCATGAAGGCGGCCGCCTCCTGCTCGGACACGGCCCGGGCGTCGTACGACAGCGTGCAGGTCATCAGGGTCTCAGTGCTGCCGCCCACACCTGCAACGTCGGCAGCGGCAGGTGATGGGCGCGGCTGTGGCTCAGTACAGTTGTCAGATCAGTCCATCTCACCTCATATGCGCCACTTTCGAGTACAAATACGGCCAATCTACTGCACAACGTGTCAGAGGTCGAGACTGCAACACCCTATCTCTGACACTTCCTCCGATGGGGTAATGAGGTGACCGGACCATGCCAGGTGGGTAAGCTCTGACGGACAACCACATCAAAACACAACGTTTAAAAACCCGTTGACTGTAAAACATTCTTACGAGCCATAAAACAAACTTATGTGCTGCACATAACGTCACAAGTATTCGTTTTTTCCGTGTTGAAGTTTCGGGCAGGTCCCAGAGGTCCGGCGGTGGTTCGGGAGTATCACGCCGTCAAGAGGCGGGGCCCGTACCCGGCTCTGGCCGGCCGCCGCCCACCGCCAGGATGCCGCACTGCGGCGGGTTGATGATGGCGCTGAACTCGTCCACGCCGAACATGCCCAGGTTGGATATCCTGCGAACGGCACAACGCATGTGAAGAGCGCCGGCATATGCTGGCCAGCACGGCGTAGAGCATCTGGAAACTGACAGGGAGACGGGGGAATCACCTTCGGGTGTTTTTCAACAAAAGCCCAAAAGCCCTTTAGCCCAACAGCAAAATAGCCTGAATAGAAATGCATACAGCTTTCGTGGCGTAGAGCGTCGATGAGCACAGAGATGGACTCGCGCCATGAATGTGCTACATAGTCATCACGTTGTTGCCTTACGTTCAGAGTAACGGAACGCTGGGAAACGAACGTTGGTTTGTTACGGAGTCAGGAATTTATAGCACTGACAAGTCAGCACTGAACTGGCAGATGTAGGTCACTGAACGAACAGATGAAGGATTCTGCAAACATACCACCACCAGCTGTAAGCTTTAAACAGCTGATACACCGTGTTTTGTAATGCAGAACAAATTGCAAACAATCGCGTTCCCAAGTTACGATATTCCCCGCGGTCTACTCGTCAGGATATGTGCAAAAATTCAGCAGGTGCCTACAGGCTACAGCGCAGGGCGCACGCGGTAGTGCAGAGTGCCGAGTCCCCTGCCCCGCCTCCCGCCGCTCCGCCTCCGGCCGACTCACGTGAACGTGCCGCCCTGGAACTCGTGCGGGCGTAGCTTGCCGTCGCGCGCGCGGCCGGCCAGCTCCTGCACGAGGCGTCCGATCTCCGCCACCGAGCGGCCGGCCGCGCCGCGCACGATCGGCGTGATGAGGCCGGCGTCCGTGGCCACTGCCACGGCCACGTCCACATCGGCCGCCCGCTCCAGCTGCCCGGCGACAAGGCGGTGACGGTCAGAGGTGGCCGGCGGGTCACTGGCACCTACGCGTCTGGGAAACCAGAGGTGTGGGTTCGATTCCCCGCGGTGCCCGCCCTCCCTGCCAGGGTGAGAGGCAGGTGACGCCGTATAGCCTCAGCAGCTGAGTGCGTCGTTAAGCCCCATGATACACACGCCACTGGTACTGGCGTCACTGGACTGGCGGGACGCTGGAGGGCGGGGCATCAGCTGACGGATAGGACGGTGCGGTGGGCTGGTAACACGGTCAACGGGAACTGACGACAGATGGTCGCTTTGTCATGACGACCGAACGGATCGCACTTCTTACGACTGAATGGCTTCGATTGCCGGTTGTGGCTACCGCGGTGTGACGTAGGCGGGGTCAACTTGAAACTAATGGGCATTAAATGCGCAATCAACTACAAAAACACCGTGCCGGCCAAATGACACACGCAGATAATGACCACCGGGCCAATGAACTGCACGGCACAGGCCACTGAACTGGCAGAAGCAATTCACTCGCAGCTGAAGGATTTTGCAGACACACTGCCACCAGCTGTCTGCAGGCGCCCGCGTGAGACAGGCCCCATGTCCTCCCTTTCTGAACCTTCTTCGCAGCCAGCCGTGGGCCGAGGCTTTTTTCAGCGCGCTAGCATGGACGCTGCCGGGCGGCCGCAGACTAACCAAGCACATCCAGCCCGCGTCCCTGCCGTGATCCCACACACCGGGCCGTTGCATTATCAGCCGGCCTGCTGGCTATCTCAAGGCCACTAGCCACGACGACAGAGATGTTCGTGCATCCGCAGGTCGCCCAACAGGGTGCATTGCGCCCCTCCGGACTTTTCGGAAACACAAGAGACGGCCGCAGCACAAGAGCTCCACCATTACGAAAGCCGAGCCCGTTCGGGACGGTGAAGCTCTGCGTGAGTAACTGAAGGAGTACCTGTTACGGCGCTGGCCTCGCCGATTTGCCACACACGGTTAAATAAACCGTAACCCCGTTCCTTGCAAGGTGCCACGAAGATCGAGCGGAGGTCAACTGGTCGAAGCCGGGCACGACCGCAAGGCGTCACTGGACAGCCATACACGGGCCACCAGGTTACTCACAGGGACATTTGTGAACCCCTGGACGCTGGATCAACATTCGCTTAACTGCCCATCAGGAAAAAGGCCAACAATCCCCATTGGCCTCCGCCATCCGAGCCAGCCAGCGACATGTTCCACCGACCTGCTCGCCGTTCCAGACACAGTTAACTTCGGGATGCAGCCGGAGAGCAAGCGCCACCGTCTTGATGATGTAGTCGTTGAGGGAGGCCTGGACGCCCTCAGTTTTCAGCTGCTTCCGCAAGCTGAGCAGGCGATCAATGCGAGCCTCGCACTGCATGTAGGCGTGCGGTATTTCCGTCTGCGAACAACGGACGACTGAAAACGGGTACGGAAACACAAATGATACCACGACAAATACGTCACACGGCGTTGGATCCAGACGAGGCCACCATGGCTAATTACATGTTTCAGCAACGACCCAAGTACATATTTGATGGGGTAGCCACAATGTCTTCTTATTGTAACGTGCATGGCAAGAAGCAGCTGTGCGAAGCCCTGAGCCCCTGACCATGATGCACTGACTGCAGTCGACAGGAGGCCAAACCCGTCCACAACGCTGCCCGATAGCGACATAACCATGGCGTTAGTCACTACCTTGGACTGCGTGAGACGCTTGGCGATGGTCTTGCGCATGCTGGTCAAGGGCAGGGTCAACATAGCCCTCGGCTGAGGCCTCCTGCTGCGGTGCCGGCGTCGGCGGGGCGGCGGGGCTCGTGGTGGAGGCCGGCGGCTGGCTGGCCCCATCTGGGCCGGGTACTGCCCGCGTGACAACGAGTCAGCGCCCCGCCTCTCCGGCTGTCATCCATGCAGTACGGTCTGCGACGGTGAATATCATCCCAGCCGCACCGAAATTCTCCACCGGTGCACAGGGGTAGCAGGTCGGTAACGAGCGGCGGCGGGAGCCGGATGGTAATGTTGCAAGACAGCAAGCATTTCTCTTTGTTTGGCAACCGGACAGTGTTTTACATGGATGGCTTTCGGTGCCGCGTGTTTGTGAAGCACGGCTTATGAAGAAACCCTCATCCATCATCCCGCATTTTGACGCCTGAACGTGTTCTCAGAACATTGTAAAGGCAGCATTACTGTCAAGCTTCATTGCAAACTGCGTGGTAACGAACCGGTTTTTTACAGTTACGGTGTCGGCAGGTATTTGCCCTTAACACACGATTGCGAAGGCGCCACTCCGTTCCCACCGAAGTATGTTGGAAGCACAGTCTCTGTACGGCGAATTTTTCACGCTAACTCATACGGTTCAAGTGTTAAAGGTCCGCTCTTCGGAGAGCTGTAAACCGAGTCCCATCAAGACCATTTTGATGAGCCCGGCACCAACAGACAAGATTGTTTAATTATCTTCCGCTAGTCATTGACCATGTTTTGTTTATAAAAATCCAAACTCTCACGGCGCACTGGGTCAGCTTTCATACACGGCACGCCATGAATGGGTCCCGACATTCGGGTACTTGTTTCCCACTCCCCTGTCGAGCGTGCTGAATTGTTTGATAGCAGGCAGCAGTCAATGCACGTTATCAGTGCAATGCAGTCGACAATCGCATTCAGGACTATCAAACAAAACATGGACATAACGTTCATTTAAACTTCAAATACATGCGCGATTGTAGCATCCGTGCCCCGCTACCTTCAGCTACAAGCTGCCAGTGTTCACTGGTATAATTAACGTTTTAGCCCTTAATTAAAAAAGAGAACAAACTGGTATGATCCAGTAGATTTGTCCCAATATATCGCCCATTGTGCACTTCGTTTTTCTTTGCTTTCATAACCAAATTGTACAAGTATGTCCATTTATAAATATATATATATATATATATATATATATATATATATATATATATATACAGCCAGTAGGTTGGCAACACTATACTAAATTACTAACAGACGTGTGTAACCGAAAGAGGGGCATCAGCTGTACATGGTATAGACCGGCACGCAAGCTGGACAGACTTAGGTAACCCGGGCGAAATACGGGCAACCAACCTGATGGTCCTCTCTTTTGTGAAAGTCACGTGTTCATCAGCCTATATCAACACTTAATTTACTCGCACCGTAGGTGTCACTGTTAACACATTCGCCGGTTGCTTATACATGTGGGTTTAGATTAATGTGATGCACAATGTCCCTCTCCGCCGAGCACACTCTTGGAATAGCCAATTCGATCTAGCGGTATTATGTATCTATCAGTATGCCAATCTGGTCCTGAAAATCACGCGCAAATATTACACTGAGCCGCGTCCACGCGCACATCTACACAGGGCTCCTTCATCGCAGGCCGAAAGAGATCGCTCTCCATCGGGTCCAGCAGCAGTCAGCCAACCTCACCTGCCTGGGGCGCCTGCGGACTCAACCGGTTTGGCGGTTGATGTAGGCGAGCACGTCGCCTTGACGATGTTGCCGGGGGACCAGAAGGGGTCACCTTGGCCGGCGGTCCACGTTGTAGAGTTCGAGCAGCGTGCAGCACGCCGCGGACCTCACCGTCCTGTGAGGAGAGGAAAGACATCGGAAGATCACGCCTTCGAGCAACTTACGGCCACAGTCAGATGCCTGACATACAGAGCACGCTAATACAATGGAAGCACTGCATCAAACGATCAAACATACACAACAATGTATCATTCACGACAAAATGACGACATGGCATGGTAGTGGTATGACAGTAGGCTTCACTGTGAAGTGGAGGTGTGCCTAATAGACCATGAAAATAGAAAAAAATAGTGGAGTAATACAAGATAAAACTACAATGGGTTAATATGTGCACATCCTTCCTGTGCATGATGTGACCTGTGCCTGCACATATCTTGATGCAATGTCAGCTAGATTTTAGCCTATGTAGTGGCATGAATATGCAGGAATTTGGTTGGCATGAAGCCCGGTTATTACGAAGGAACAGCTCCAGCGTGACGCATTCCAGAGTATTCTTTAGCTGCTTCGGGTGTAGGTTGTGGCGATGTAGAGACAGGTTTAGTGGAGTCATCCGATTCTGGAAAATAAGCAGAGTAAGCCAGTCAAGTGACAAATGTGACAGCTGTAACTAAGCGTTCAGCCACACATAAAATACATCAAACCTATATATATAATACTACACAGAAAGCCCTGGTAACAAATCCACACAATGATATCCAATGGGAAAGCTAACACATAATTCACGGATGTGAATGCTTAAATGTGCTTTTAAAAGGACACCTTATTAACAGATTCAATAATTTGGTTTCATTGTTGTGGTGTGAGCAGTAGATATGTGTGCAAAGCTACCATAATTTAATGCCTGATTGAAGTGTTCTTTAAGAAATACACTAGGCCTTACCCAAGCTTTCTGATGGCACCTCCACAGACTTCCAGTCCTCTCCTGGCTGGACCATTAGGGCAATCAATTTCCCAACAGAAATGTCTTTGCTGTCTTCTCCCATCTAAAACAAGCAGTTTATAGTCAATGCAGCTTACTGATTTTGCCTGCATCATGAAAAATGGCCAAAATATTAATGTTTTATCACAACATAAAGGACATTTATTGACATGACCTGAAGAACCCTCGTGGGATAAAGCCCATCAATGCATCAAAATTGAACTTGTAACTAAAATCAGAATTGGTTGGTATGTACCTTT